TCTGTGTAAAACTCAGTCATCCAAATTGCTTTTATTTCACACAGAATGAACTTGTATTGACAATTTTACAATGTAATTGCCTCTTCCATTTTTTTTCAGGTGCTCTTCTGACCCTGTAAAACCTTATTCCATTTTATAAGTGAAACAATTGTAGGTACTTCTCATATCTAAATTTTAATAAATTTTAAAACCAAGGCATTACAATTCTCTAGATAGTTACTTGCATTTCTAAACTGAGTCTGAGATGGGTTTGTTTCTCTGATTGTCTCCAACTGGTGACAAGCATCAAATATGCCCCACATTGCAAGAGTAATCCCATATTCCACAGGAAAGTGTACTGCATTACATTTAAAAAAAAAACCCAACCTGTAAAAGATTATAATTAGCATAATTCAACTTTAGAGAACCCACCACAAAGCACTTAAGACTTCTCATAAATGAGCACATTTCTATTTATGTGGTTCAGAATATATATGGATTAATTACTTCAGCCTGCATCATTAATACCATAATCATGAGGAACCTTGTGCACCAGGCAGTGCAATGGCAAGGACACATAAACATCCTTTGAAAAATACAGACATGCCCATGTGCACACAAGTAAATTTACACATATATTGCTCTGTATTGAGTAGAATGTACTGCATTTCAAAAGGTTTGCACATTATTAAGAAAACAAAGCTGAAATGGCGAGTCCAAATAAACTGGATTCCATGGCTCCAGTGAGGGAAACAAGTCCTTGGTGGACTGTCTTGCAGCCCTGTGAAAAGAGTAGAGGCAGGCACACATCTGGCACCTGTTTTAATCCTGAACATACACTTCTTAGAAGTAATCCAAGGCAATTGGAATAGTGAGAAAGTGAGAATCACCCTCCACCTCCCTTTCTGTCCTGTTTTTCAGGTGAGAAATTTAGCCTTCAGCCCCAATTTGAGTCTTCACAGGGCTTGAGCATTAGACTACATCAGTTCTCTCAATTCCCATCAAACTAAAAAACAAAAACCAAATACAAAATATATCCCAAAGCTCACATAAAAGCATGCACCAGCACTCTGTCTCTTGCAATGGACTGCCTATTACAGGAAAACTGACACCTGCAGAGGCATCTACATGATAAGTGCAACATAGAAGTAAATCATAAATTAGATATTGCCTAAATAGAAAGCCCCCCACAAAAAAATACAGTGAAAAAATTCTTTAAACCAAAACAAGAATGCAATAACCACAAAAGGTGAGTGTCCAAATTAGTAAAATACAGAGTTAAGCTTTTGTTTACTCTCAATTTTTCAGGTGGATAGACCTTGTACTAAATTTTCTCTGACAGAAAATAAAATCACAAGAAGGTAGGTGTCGAGGATTTGAAGCTATGCGAAAAAAAAGAACTTGAACAAAGGTTTCTCATATCACACAAGTGCTTTTACTAGAAATCCAGTGTGGCTGCTTCTCTCACCACATTTCCAAATAAAGCAATGCCATTGCTGTCACTTTGCTGTAGTGCCCTGCCTGGGAAGCATTCTCAGTTTGACCTGCTGAAACTTCCTTGGTTAGGCCATGTTTCTCAAGAGGGTGTTTTGAGATTTGAGCGCCTCCTTTCTGCTCTCTGCAGGAACCTAAAATCTCATAAATTTGCCTATAAAACACAGCTGAATTCTGAAGTGAAATATGTAAGCTTTAAAAAAATCATTAACAGATTTCTATCCTTCCCTTAACATAAAACTTATTATTTTTTTAATCAGTGCTTGTCCTAGTTATGGGGACAGGAACTCCTCCAAAGGCCAAAGAGACCATGAAAATTATTTGTCAGCCTGCATGCAGACCATGAGCTGGCAGCTCACAGGACATGGGCAGCGCTCCTTTCTACTCCCACAGGAAATCTGTCATGCAGGTGCTTTCATACCATGCTTTCTAACACGCACAGGTGGGCTTGACATCCATGCAAAAGAGCTCAAAATGCAGCTGGAGGAGCCACAGAACATCAGCCTTTTGACTGCTGACTCAGTGGTGAGAATACGTGTGCAAGACCAGAGAGACCAGGATTCTGTCTCCTCCAAACTTCAGACGGAAAATGGATCACTTCCCTCTTCCTCCTTAACTTTGCCTGGCCATTAGATAACAAAATCCTGGTCTTTTTTTTAATCCAATAAATATCAAAATACTCTATGTGGTGAAACTAAGCACAACTGGTAGAACTATGGCAGGAAAGTTGGAGAACAGAGCTTCTTTGCAGCACAGTCACATCCCCTCACTAATAATAACTGAGCTTTTGAAAGAGACGAGTGAGTGAGTTTTTACTAGGTCAGGGGGAGAAGGGAGCTGAAACCAATCTCTCTATTCTGCCATGGTTGCTTTCTTTCAATAAAAAGGAGAATAAAAATAGTTTGCTGTGTATGGGAAGGTGAAATCTGTATTCCAAAAACCATGTCTTAAAAGAAATGACAAAATGATTTTCACTCCTTAAAAAAAATATCCTTTTCACTCCTTAAAAAAAATCTCTCCTTCTCATAAGTGAGATTACTGGCAGTGAGTTCAAGCTGACAGAGCCCTGCAATACGAAAAGCAAAACCATGACTAAGGTTTGTTCATGGATCCTATTTGCCTGAGATGTCAGCTATAAGCATCTTTTTGCCTCACAGGCCAGCCAGCTGTCACCTCAGGTAGTGGTATTTTGGATGGCATCCAGTCCTAACTCTTCCTTGGAATTGGACTAAGAGCCTAAATGTCTACCTCAGGACCCTGGGTTCCTCTGCAAAGGCAAGTACTTAAAGGTTTGATGTGCCACCCAAGCTCTTAATTGGATCCAACCCTATAATTTGTTCCATAATAGGATGACCCAGCAGGATCATTTACAGCAGGCAATGAAAGCAAATGCCAAGGAATGAAAATGCAGAAGTAGAAAGTTGTTGTATTGATTGTATAAATTGCCTCATTCAACAGCCTTAGGCTGACTATTAATATTTCAGTGTTGGATACCCCTTCAGTTTCACATCTAATGCGTTTCTTGAGTAAACAAGTGATGCTTGGGAAAGCCTTCCTCCCTTATAAACAAAATAAGACACAAGTTCCAAAAGAAATCTCAGAAGGAATCAGAGGCATAACAGAAGACTTATAAAATAATTTTGTGATAGCCTGTTAGGTTTATTTCACTGATTTTTTTTTCCCAAATATAATGTCACTAGTACCTTCAGTAAAAGGTTACTGAAAATCCTGAAAGAAACTGAAAGGAAAATGAAGATTTAAAATGGCAATATTCAGACAGGTCTGGGATTGCATTGTGCTATTACTCTGTCCAAACAACTAAGAATGTAACAAGTTCCAGAAAAGCTGTGATAAAGTGCTGCTGGAGGTTTCAGTATGTTTCTGTAGTGCTTTTAATTCTGTGTAACAGCGTCACATAGTTTGAGAGCCAGTTACCAGCAAGAACCTCCTTCCCAGATGGTGACTGGGGACGAGACAAGCAGGTGTCCACCCTAACAGTGCACCGGAGGAACAGGGTCCTGCCTGGTGGACAGGCAAGGCATGTGTAACATGCCATCCCTGTGTGCAACAGCTGAGAGAGTGTCTCTGCCATCCAAGCAGACACCATGGGTGCTAAAACTGCTGTTTGAGATCAAATTTATTATTAGCAACCCTCTCTGCAAGGGGAGAGAAGAGGCTGTGCAGACACTATTATACCACACAACCAAGTCCCCCCATGCTGGAGATAGACATCTGTAATGGGAAGGCAAATTTCCCCCAAAACTTTCTGACTAACTTTTACCTTTTTTCTTTTCTTGATAAGAATGTTTATATGACAGACTGTCAGACTTTTCAGTACTGAAACACAAGTATTTGCATATTCAGATCAGACTAGGTTATGCAATGCGTAGAACTACTGGATAGTGTGACCATAGAAAAAGTGTGATCCAGAGAAAATCATCAAAAGTGAAATATTTTCAATTTTTCAGACCCCTGCTTAAGGCTTGATTTGTGAGAGATGCTCAGAGCCCAGGTCATCTATCCCAATATCCAAAAACCAGCTGTGGAAACACTTAATTGAAAAATTTTTATCTCTGTCCATGGAATAGGACTGACTATACTTGCAGGAAATCTTAGAAGTGTAAACACAAGCACACTATATAAATACCTGCTGGTTTGACATTTTGTGAATAGCAGATTATATATATATAAATATAATTAAAAGACAAAAACAATAAACAAACAACAACCCTCCCCCCTCCCCCCCAAAAAACGCCAAACCAAAACAAACAACTCCAATCGACTTTCCAAAGGAAGCATTCAGCACTGTCACGAAAAGAGACACGCCCCACCTAGAGGTAAAACACTAAAATCCTCATCATCCAGCAGCTGGCTACTTCTCAGACTCTAGTGTTTCGACAATGAATTGCTCCAGAACTGAAATCAAATGCAAACAGCACTGGGATTCCAAACATTGTGCAACTTATGGAATATTTTATGCATTTATTTTAAAGTGGAAGCACTCTTTTTTTTTTTTTAAATCTGTCCATTTGCCAAGGATTTGTTTGGATGATCTTTTATGAAGAATAGCTGGAAGGCTCCTTTTTTTTTTCCTAGTTTCATGCCACGTTTCTTCCAATTACTGTTGATTAGAAAACAGCCTAGCAATTAACCCTGACAGGTTAGCCATCAGTTTGATAGCACTGCATGTCATCCAAAAGGTAGGGGGAATTTATTGTTAATTTCAGACAATTAGCAATGGGCTGGCAGAGCTCACAACAGCCTGAAAGCTCAATTTTCCAGAACAGCTGAGATAAATTACTGAATCAATTACAACACACCAGTGAATGTCTGCAAGCATACTTAAAGCTAGCAAACAAGCCACTGAAAATCAGTGGGAGGAGAAAGACTAGTAGAGGGGTTTTGTTTGGTGGTATTCATTTCAAGCTGTTGGTGTTTATTCTGCTCTGCCATTGAGACTAGTTAAATATAACTAAAAGATAGTACTGACTTATATCAAAAGAATCTGGTAAAGAATAGGATCTAAAATGACTTTCCTTCCAAAGTGGTTAACTTTTCTAAAAGGCAAAGAGGTTGTTATTGCTAATGCAATAATTGCAATATTGACAATTGGCGGGCAGCAACTTTTCTCTTTTTTCACGTTCAGCTGTCCCTGTCATGTTGGACAGAACCTTATCTATGGGCTGGCTTTCCTAGGAGTGCCTGCACTGATCCTTCTGGTTGTTGGCTATGCCCTGAACAACCAGACTTGGAGGCTCGTTATGGGCAAAAGTTCTCATTTTGAGAGGGAAATGTCATCAAACTGGCTGCTGAAATTCAAACTGCTCTGCTTTGTCCTGTGCAGCATCACAGGGAGGGCACTGGTTGCTCCAGTCACATGGCTTGCAGTCACCCTGATAAATGGCTCCTATTATATCTGTGCTGTGAGTGAGTACGTCCCTGTGCATTACTATGGAGCTGCTCCCAATGTCAGCGCTGCGGAGCGCAGCAGGATATTGGCCATATTTCCCTGCGGGCAGCTGGTTCCTCCAGAGCTGGCCCGGGCCAGAGATGAAGTGATTCTCCTCCTCCGATACCAGTCACAAGTGAGTAACTCCTGTTGCCTGTAAACTTGATGGCAAGAGATGAAGCTAATTCAGCAGGTATAAAACAAGATCAGTGTCCTCTGCCTTGAGTGCTAAATCTCCGTGTGTTTTGAAGCATGTTTTTTTTTCTTTTAAGTGGAACTGAACTTTATAAATTACTATATCTGCTTGTCCCATTTGTTACCTGCTGCCTGAGGACATAATCTTCCTTGTGTAGTATCCTGAAAAATAATACCAAGTACAACAAATGGAAGTTCAAGAGCCAGGGAGGATATGAAGTTTCTTCATTAAAGCAGAAGACATGTGACTAAGAGGCCCAGGCTGTGAGAGCTTTGTGTGAACCCATGTAAAATCTTGGGGTTTAGATCAGACTCAATTCTAAAAGTTTGCATACTGGGTAAATAATAGGAGAAGCATTAAGCTGTCACTTCAGAGAAAACTGGTTTTAAACAGGCTATAAGCTAATATAGTCTTGGCCTATCTTATAACAATAATAGCTGAGAAAGCAATATTCTTAAATCTGCACAACAGAACTTTCTTGAACTTGAAAGGAACAAGTAATTTTACTACATAGCTGCCTCTAGTAGGCATGGACTGGGTTTGGTGGTAACAGATGCTTTCCAGGCTTATACCTTGTTAATGCTATTATTTAGGAAAAGCAAGTAAAGTTAATCTTATGGATTTTCTGGTGCTCAAAAGTTACCACTGTCAGTATTTTCAGGTCTAGAATTATTTTCTTTTTTATTCTTTTGGTAAGGTGGCTGGCTGGCTTTTGATTGCTGTGGTGGTCATCACTGTGTTCCTTTCTTACTGCCTGGCAAGCTGTTTCTCCCCGCTCAGCTTCCTGCACTTCAGATACTGGAACAGCTATGTCCACAATGAGCAGGAGCTCTTTGATGAGGCAACAGAGCAGCACTCCAGGCTCTATGCCATGCAGAATGTAAGGAAGTTCTTTGGCTTTGTCCCAGGAAGTGAGAATGTAAAGGAGATTCGTATCCCATCTCTCAGGGAGTGGCAGGCCATTTCTGGACTGGCCTTTCTGAAGCGAGTGGATAAGGAGCACTATGATTACAGCCTCCTCCATGACTGGGCACTCAAGGAGCGTGCAAGTGGAAAGTACCTGAGGATTGATGAGGACCCTGGGATCATAACACAGCTCTGAAGATCCAAGACCCCGCAATACTTTGCAGAAAAGCAGGAACCTGTCTAGCTCTATGTCAGACCTGAGCTGCACTGGAACTTTCCAGTACAGTATTACATTGATGTATAAATTATGTGAGCATCTTGTTAATGTAGTCCTTCAGCACCTGCTTACAGATGCCTTTACTGATGGTGTTTTGACTCCTGTGGGATGTGGTGATCTATCCCTAGATTAGGGTGGGCTATTTCAAGCTTCAGCTCCCTGCTTTCTAATAGTTGTGCTGAAAGGATAAGTATGTACTGAGAAAGTTATTTACAAATGCTTTTAAATCTTTTTTTCTTTCCATTAAAAGGATCTTTAAGAGGTAGACCTTGATTGGATCCTATGAATTGGTCCATTCTGTATGGAGCAAGGGCAGCTATCCAGCTTTTCCTTAGTGATGCCAGCAGAAATTTCTTATTTCTCCTCCTCTATTTTTTTTTTTGTGTTATATAAGTAATCTACACTGAGCTAACTACTAGTTAAGTCTGGGGCTACAGTAGCATTCAGGAAACAGATGGGGAAATTTTACCATTAAAGGCTGAGTTTAGATACAATGATGAGAGAACTTCAAATTCTGATAAGGAGAGAAAATCCCCACTGAGGCACATGGTGGAGGTGTGTAACACATAGCAGCTGTATGAACAAACATTTGACATATGGCAAACTGAGCTGAAATGTATTCTGGCTGAAAGCAATATCAAGGTCAGTCTCCTATTTGGAAATACTTCAAAATCTCCAAGGTGTTTGTGTGCTTGGCTACTGTATAAATAGCAAATGAGGATGGGAAAAATCTCAGTCTGTACAGTAGGGTTTGCTTTGCCTCTGTAAACTTGTAATTTATACATATACTAGGCCCATGAAAATGACTGTGATTAAAAACTACTGAATTTTGTGAAAGAAGGTTTAATGATGTTTTTGTGTTAAGTCAGTTTGGTATGATGTGGTATTACTCCTCTCTAACCTCCTGTGCAGATGTTTCTAACTAAGTGGGAGGGAAATCCATGCCATAGTTTTTTTTTAATGCTTCCTGCATTGCCTTGCCATGTACACATGTATATGTGGGCTCCAAAGCCTTAAGCTACACTATAGGATGCTATCTGCTACTAATAAATGACCCCAGGGGCTTTAAGTGGAAAAATCTAATTATTTAGTACATTTTATTAGAAAATGCAGGAGTCAGAACTGCTCTGTCCCTCTTCTCCTCATTTGGATAGGGGAAAGAGAATATAAGGAAAGGATCATGGGTTGAGATAAGGACAAGGAGACATCACTCAGCAATTACTGTCAAGGGCAAAACAGACTCCAGTTGGAGAAATTAGTTTATTTTATTACCAATGAAATCAGAGTGGGATAATGAGAACTAAATCTTCAAGTACCTTTCCCCACCACCTTCCTTCTTCTGGGCTCAATTCCACTCACAAATTTTCTACCTCCTCCCCTACAGTGGTGCAGGGGGTGTGAGTGAATAGGGTTGCAGTCAGTTCATCACATATTGTCTCTGCTGCTCCTTCCTCCTTGGAGGGAGGGCTCCTTACACTCTCCCCCTGCTCCAGCATGGGTACTTCCTTCCAGGGCCCGTCTTCCTCTGACTTCTCCAGTGTGGGTCCTTTTCAGAAGCTGCAGTTCCTCATTAATTGCTCTGGTGTGGGTCCCTTCCACCAGGTGCAGCCCTTCAGGAACCACCTGCTCCAGTGTGGGCTCCCTGCAGGGCCACAAATCCTGCCAGCAAACCTGTTGCAGTGGGGCCCCTCTCTCCACAGGTCTTGCCAAGAATCTGCTCCAGCACAGGCCCCTGGTGGGGTCAGAGCCTCCTGCAGGCACCCACCTGCTCTAGTGTGGGTTCCTCCAGGGGCTGCAGGTGGATCTGTTTCACCAGGGACCTCCCTGACTTGCAGGGGCACAGCTGCCTCCCCATAGTCTGCACCAGGGGCTGCAGGGGAGCCTCTGCTCCAGAGCCTGCAGCACCTGCTTCACTCCTTCCTCACTGAGCTGTTCTGCTCACTCCTCTCTCTGGCTGCAATTTCTGTGGCTCAGGGTCATTTTCCTCATTTCTTAAACCTGTTATCCCAGAGGAGCTGCCACCATTGCTGATGGTGCTCAGCCTTGGTCAGCAGCAGGTCTTGCAGCCAGCTGGCATTGGCTCTGCAGGATACAGGGGAAGCTTCTGGTAGCTTCTCACAGAAGCACCCCTGTAGTGCCCCTGCTACAAAATCTGGCCATGCAAACCTAAGAAAAGGTAATGGGGCTGCATTTGTGTATTTGAAGGTTTTGATAGAAAACCTCTATGTTGATGTCTGGATCCAAATGACAAAAACCTGCAGTCTTCAGTCCATGTGAACTCTTTCCACTTCTATTATTTTTATAACAGCACTACTATAAAATGATGCAGTGTTTGCAGTTAAGAGTAATCTGAAAAATTATTTTTATATATTGCTCACCTGATTTTTAAACTAGGCTTCACGGCTTCTGATTTTGTCCTGATTACTATTTGCCCTGTATTTTTCATAATAATATGTAATTTAAAATACTGAGTGGAAATACTGTCTGTCACTGTGAAGTCAGCCTGCCAATATACTCACAGACTATCACCTTGCTAGCATATATTAATCCATAGTACTACAGCTGTAGTATTTTAAGCTTTGGGGTACTTCCCTTTACTCCTCGGCTCTTTGAAACGTGTCATGGATTGGTAGTGAAGGCACAGCTTTCAAATGAATTCATGATTACAGACAAATCTATGGGTTGGTACAGTTGAACAGTCAAACCGTGCCTACTAAAAGGAGTCATCTTACCCAAAAACCCACTTAGAATTCCAGTTTGCTCACTTGAAAATTATTCTTCTGGAAACCCTGGGCTTATAAAATGTGTCTGTTGGAAAATTGCCAGCCACGGGGCCAGGAAAGGGATGCACCTTACATCTACTCTGTGTACCACATACCCATCAGGGTCTGCTGTTGTTTAACGCTTGTCAGTCTTAAATCCATTCTGGCAGGTAACCCCAAAGCACGGCAGCTCGCAGTATCGTTAGCCTTGGCGACTCCTGCTCTGCACACACATCGTGGCAATGCTGCCGATGTGACGAGACTCCTGAAATCACGGAGAACGTTTCCTGGGAAGTTTGCAGGCGCTGTTTAACTTCAAGGCGCAAATCACCATCTGCATCTAATAAACTTCCAATTTCTGGCAGAAATGGCATTCAGCTGCCTTCACGGCACCCTTTCGCACTCCCTAGAGCATCGCATTTGAATCCCCTTCAGTTTGATGATCCTTGTAAATTTTCAAGGCAGGAACGTCCAAGAGTGAACCGTACCATCACTAGGCTGTGCAACACAGGCACTGCGGACCTCAGCTCTGCCAAGGCCGCCGCTCCCGGGAGGGGCGGGGAAGCAGAGCGGGCTGGGATCCAGCAGGATCCCTCCCGCACGCCAGGTACGCTCCATCATGCCCGGAGCAGAACGCTGGAGCTGACCGAGCACCGCGGTTGGAGCTGAGGGCACCGCGGCTGTGAGGGCACCGCGGCTGTGCGGGCACCGAGGACCAGCCGGGCCGGCACCCCGTGCGCGGCCTCCCGCCATGGCAGCGGCGCCGCCTCCCTCCCTCCGTCGGTGCGGCCCAGCCCGGCCCAGCCCAGCCCAGAGGCGGCATTCCCGCCTACCGCGAGCGCGAGGCATGCTAGGAAGGGCCGGGACGGGGCCGGGACAACGCAGGCGCGGGCGGGGGAGGCGGCGGCGTCGCGGTGCGGGCGGCCCATGGCCGTGGGCGGCGGGCCACGATGACCGACTACAGCGAGGAGCAGCGCAACGAGCTGGAGGCGCTGGAGTCCATCTACCCGGACTCGTTCACGGGTGCGGGGCCGTGCCGGGGCCGCGCCGGCAGCCGGCGTCTGGGGGAGGAGCGGGAGGCCGCGGCGGGGCTGCCGCACGTCCCGCGGGGGTTCCGAGCGGCGCGGCTCTGCTCGGCTCGGCTCGGGTGGGCGCTCGGGATGTTGACTCGCTTTCCCCGGCCGGGAAGAGCAAAGCGCTCGATGGCCCCTGTGGCCCGGGCCGTGGGCGCTGCCCCTGCCGCGTTCAGCGCCGTGCCACAGCAGCCAGCCCGGCGTGGGCAAGCCGGTCCCCGGCGCTGGAAGGATGCTCTTCGGAGAAGCCTTTCAAAAGATGCAGCCCTGGGAATTGGTTTGTGTGCCGAGCGGCTTTCCTATCCGGTAGCAAGCTTGTTGCGGTCGTGAGGCATGGGATGTTTTGGGGTGCTTAAAGGTGCTGTTTCCTCTGTAAATGTATTGCCAGTACCTGCCTTACCTCGTTACAGGTGAAAAAAAAGGGCAAGCTTTAATTCCCTGGTGCAGCATGTTATACTGTTGGAACTTTCATGTTGTGGATACGTTGGTTCATCAGTTTTTCAGGATTTTCAATTTACCATCAAGCAATCAGGAGTATCGAAATGCTGCCTAATCCAACATGATTTTTGGCATTCTGTATCCAAAGAATATTAACAGTGGAAAAATCTGGGAATTTTCTGTTTCCTTCCTGCACAGTGTCTACTCTGCCTAGAGTTCCACAGCATCTTAGTTGGCAGTAACTTCATCACACAAACGTTTGCCCAGTACAATTGCCTATTGCTTCAATCTGAAAATCTATTCAGGTCTTCGGTTTTATTTTAAAGATTATGTAAAGGTATATAAATTGATCTCTGATAGTTGGGGATGCTGGATATCTGATACTGATATGGAAGTCATGTTCTTTTATACAGCCTTTACTCTGATGCTTACTCAGAGTTATTGTTCACTCATGCTTTTATGCCCAAGAGAGGAGAGGGAATAAAGATCGTAGTAGTACATTAGCAATTAGGCAAAAACTCAGTTGATACTTTGAGAGCATGTACACTAATTTGGGCATAGCTTGTAACAGAGATGCAGAGCACCTCTTACATGAGTATGTGGTCTGCAATCCACAATTGTGCAATGAGGTTTTTAGCCTGGGAGAAATGCAGGTCACAGCTCTTACTATGTTGTGTTGTCTGTCTTCTAGCTGCCTGATTCACACGCTTTCATTCTAGTACATTGCTTGGTCAGTAGCATTTCT